ATGGAAGTAAAGGTGACAAAGACAAGCGAGCATACCGTATATTTTGTGTTAATTTACTCTGATGCTCTGAACCACACGAATCACTTCAGCATTTTGCTGCTAATTCAAGCTGGTATTCTGTGCTTTAAATACACCTTTGAAGACTAAGATGGAATGCCTCTTATCCATTAAAATGGGTCTCTACACTCCCCATACGATACACAACAGCATTGAACTGCTATTTTACGCTGGTATTCTGTGAGAACGTGGTCCTACCCCGGTTGAGTGGACCCGTTCGTGCTACAACCGTAATACAGCTGCAGCGTGATTCTACCATGCATGTCAAAATTGTGTTATCCTGTACTGATGGCCAGTCTTCATTGAGTCGAGCCGCCGCGGCCCACTCGACCTGGTTGAGCTATCACGGCAGCAACAGCCAGAGGGATAGCCAAATATGTTATCCTATCGTTCATAGGGTCACCAGTGAACAGGAATTTTCCTGAAATGTTCCGAATTTTACCGCTCTGTCAGAGAAACTGGAAAGATTTGAAATTGCCAGGAATTTTTAAATAAAAAGATAATTTTTTTAATATTAGAAGTAGAAACTAAAATATTTATTAACCATAAAAAATATAAGTGAATCAAATTTCAAGGATTAAATTGTTTCATTCATCTGATCCGACTCATACTTTTTAATGCTGGATATTGCGCAATGTCAAGTACATACGCGAGTCTTTACAAACAATTTTTTTACTGCCTCAGGCAATGTCAGGAAATTTATTGAAAAGTCAGGGATTTTTCCAGGAGAACTCATTTTCAGATCTGGTAACTACTCATACCCGTACTTTGTATACATCATACTTTATATAAATACGAATATGTAGTAGATACTAAAGCCAAATTTGTGTTGCCAATTCACAGCAGTGAGTGCGACTAACAGTCTCTAAGATGACCGGATTTTTAATTAAATATTCGATTTCACTTATTGCAAAAACACTAATTGAAATATGTTGTTGGGATTCTCACTGATTACATTTTCTTTATAATCAAGTTTACCCCGTTATGTAGTAGTATATTCTTTGACCCTGTGCAGTTTAATTTACACTGATTACATTTTCTTTATAATCAAGTTTACGTTATGTAGTAGTATATTCTATGACCCTGTGCAGTTTAATTTAGCAAGCAAGGTTCATACTGTTTTAAAAAAGCTCGGTTGCGTAAAAGATATTTTAATAATACCCATTATACGATTTTATAAGTACTTTATCACAGTTTTGTTATAAGTTTTATAATTAAACGAGAATGGACTTTAAGGGCCGCCACATAGGTACATACGGAATTCCTTTTCAGGATTCGGTTTCGGCGTTTCAAAACTGAACGAACTGGTCGGCTACACACGTACGGAGTTCCGTTTTGCCCGCAAAATGTCGAACAGAAAACTACCGTAGGTGTGTGACGGGTCCTTGATGTATATGCTGCGTTCGATCCCGAATCGAAATCCCGTAAGTATGTGGCGGACCTAAATCGTTATAGATCCTAAAGTTCATTCAAAATGAAAAATGACTGAGGAAACCTAAATATGATTTTTAAAGACCTAATCAATGATACCTCACTTGACATAATACGTCGACGGTACGTCGGTTTTTTTCTTTTAAGTGATAAACGTGTGGTAAATTTTGGTTATTGTCATTCATGTCTTTAGTGTTAGAATTATATCAAAATCAAAACCAGTCCACGCGTATGATCTCTAGAACGCCACAAATTAATAAACATATATACATTCATACATACATGCTGAGAAATGCATTACCTTCCGTAGTCGGGTAAAAATTGCGACATGATGTCGTCCCAATTTCTTATGATTCTTTGGCTGGCTTAACTCAACCGATTCTTTCGGTTCTGTTTTGCAAATTTTACAATATTATGCTTTGTTTTCATTGCCACTTACTTGTCGTAACCATTTACAAAATATCGGATCTTTGAACCAACTATCTCCATTTTTTTATTTTGAAAAGTTGTCACATTAAAAATTAATAAAAAATTATAATAACGACTCTACAATAAATCAATCTTGATGGTTATTCCTCTTTTTTGTCAGGCCAACATATTCGCACGTCATTAACTGAAAATAATTAAATAATATTCAATGGAGACATCGTTTTTGGGCCTATAAGAAATTTTAACAATATTAATGGTATTAACACAAAAAATACCAAAATATTGTAGTAAATGGTCTAACTATATCATGATAATCTAAACGGAGTGAAGAAAAAAAAAAAAAAAGAGTTCTTTAGATATTCGTGTTCTGGTTAATGTAATGTGAGAGAAATGTTTGTAATGAATCATTTTTGCAATTTGTATAAAAACAATAATATTTTTTACAAGGATAACTTATTAAATACACGTACGTATTTTTATATTATATATTTATTACTAAGAAGATACACTACTGAGAACTTCGTGTTTAAATCCTAATTCTAAAGGTGATAGCTAATAGTAATAGCTAATAGTTTTTTTACGTGGTAGAGCCATGCTGCAGTTATATTAGTAGTATAGCTGTAGCACGAATGGGTCGGCTCGACCGGGGAAGGACCACGCTCTCACAGAATACCAGCGTGAAATAGTAGCTTAATGCTGCTGTATTTCGTATGGTGAGTGTAGAGAACCGGAGACCCTTTTTACTGGAAACGAGGCATTCCATCTTAGTCCTCACTGGTGACAACGCATCTGCATTTTGATTTGTAATCGAGGATAGATGTAGATGTCTATGGGCCACAGCAACCACTTACCATCAGGTGGACTGTGTGCTCGTTTGTCACCCTAGCCTATAAAAAAAAAAAAAAAAAAAAGTATATAACATTGGTTAAATTAAAGTGACCGTAGAACGAATCATACGAACAACAATAACAAAAACATATGTTCCTCGATACATCAAATTGAAATGAATGCTACTTTGCTCCGTGTGCTACACGAACACCATACTGTTTAGTTCGTTACTATATCGAGTATTTAGTTAAGTTAACGTGACCATGGGTGCTGGAAAGCACCCGAAATGTCGGGAATTAAAAAGTCATTTAAATTAAACGCGAAAAAATTCGTAAAAGTAGTTTTAATCAATAAGTTATTTTTATAGAAAAGTATAGATGTAAACGTTTCTTTCTGAAATATTCTATTGTGTGTATATATATATATATATATATATATATATATATATATATAAGAGAGAGAGAGAGAGAGAGAGAGAGTGATGCGCGGGCAGAGGGAGCGGTGGAATGGGTGCCGGAGTGCCAGACTACTGGACATGCCGATGTACTGAAGTGCAGGAGTAGTCATGTGGTTACTGCAATTCAAAATACTGTAGCTCGTTTTGATCGGACCAAAAATTAAAGGTAAGGTAAAATTGAAGGTAGCCTTTGTTAACTATGACATAAGACCTCAAATACCTCAGTTCTCCCAGTGACCATGAATGCTGTAAAGTGCACAAAACGTCGGGAATAAAAAAAATTAAAATTACATGCGATAAAATCCGTAAAAATAGTTTCTTTCCAAATAAACGTTTTGTTAAAAAATATTTGTAATATCAAAGATAAGTCAGATATTCGCCAAGAGTACATACTTGTTTGTAATGAATGCAACGATGTCACCGGTCAGACTGGCCGCAACTTCACAGTTACAGTACAGTGGAAAAGTAACGCGTTATCTATGGATATTTTTTGCTAAATTTAGTTTGAGTAGGCGGATATACTTTGCAGATGTTATCAGACTCGGTACAGTACCTCGCATGTTTGTAAGTAAATATTATAAGCGTTAAGTGCGATGTGGTAATTTATTTGCGAGATTCATTCTTACCATGCGTCGCCCTCCAGGGTTTAAGTGGTCTTCTTGACATTCAATGTACGTTTATTTCATCTTCTAATTCAGTTTATATATATATATATATATATATATATATATATATATATATATATATATACTAAGTTGCCAGGCAGACGTTGTTCTGCCCTTTTCGACGATCCTTTGTCATGCCTATTAAAAATCCTTAAATTAGCAAAAAAAAATTGTGGGTCACTTATGGGCAAAAAACTATCCTATCTCTTAAGTTGGACCAAACTGCACATGGTGTGCAAATTTGGTTAAAATCGGTTAAGTAGTTTAGGGGTATCGTTCCGAAATACAACACAGTACACTGTCGAATGCGAATGACGTCATAAATCGACGCTATATTGGTGATTGTTGTATGAATATGTGGATACGACGTCAATTAATGATCATTCGCATTGACAGTGTATTGTATTTGAACATACCCTAGGTCATCGAATGTGACACGTAATTTATATATATTAAGATAATATAAGAAAATCGGACAAATATTCAAAGAGTATATAGATGTATGTATTATGTAGCAGGTGAGCAGGTGCAGGTGTAACAATATGCATTATCCCGTATCATCCCGTGGGTGTAATAAAGGCTACAGAGGGACACAAACCAGACGATAAGCAACACTGTCTTCCGAATAATGACTAAAAGATAAAACTTTTCGGTTGCTGACCAGCCGGTCGAGCTTGGTAACTATGCCAAATATGTTCCATGTCAGATAAATCTATGGGGAAGGGGCTAAGTTCAGCAGTGCTCAGTGATCTCTTGATAGCTTATAATGGTTATGGTATCTAGCACCTAAATAAATATTTCCAATTCAAAGTTTTAGATTGAACCTTTCGGGGAAATGTATCATCAATATCAAACAATATAATTAGTTAGGTTAGGTTATTGTATTAAGTTCGGGAACGTATCTCGATCTCCGAAATGGCTGGACCGATGTTGACGGGACTCGCTGGCAGATAGCGGATATTATAAGGAGAACTTGAACTACTTTTATTTTAGGAAAATAATTAGAGTAAAAAATCAAAATCCATAAAATCCAATCGTAAAAACTTCCGCGCGGATGAAGTCGTGCGGGACAGCTATAATAATGATTATTGTTATGTGTTGCAATGTTGACGAGTGTGATGTTTACCTGGCAGCGAATCTCGCGGCGTGGTGGTGCGGCGCCCGCAGCCCTCCGCGGGCTCCCTGCTGGCGGACAGCGGCGACGGCGCGGAGGCCGACCTGCTCGGCACCACGCCGCCGCGCGCCCGCATCCGCGACAAGGAGAAGAGGAGGTGCGTCCACCACCATTTAACGACATAAAATACAATAAAGATATTAGTTAATTTGCAACCTTCCGTTAACTACATACAACGATGTGTCTTACCTGGATTGAAGATAATTGATAGAATCAGGCGTTACTTTGCGGAATTCCATTATAATAAGGATATTAGTTAATTTACAATCTTCCGCTAACTACATACAATGATGTGTATACATTTAATTCAACACTAACATCTACACACATAATGTAATGGTAAATGACAGGCTATAAAATTCCACTGCAGAACATAGGCCTCCCATATAGATTACCCCATAGGGGGAATTTTACCATAAATGCCCATGGTCAATTAATTATAGGCCATACAAATATTTGTCTTGTGCGGGATTCGAACCCGTGACCATCAGCGCTGTAACCCGTTGCGGAACCATTCCCTAATGAGCCGTCGCACGGTCATACTGCTCTAAAACCGAGGAAATATGTGCCTAGCCTTTGGTAGTATAATATATACTAATATAGTAGTGTAGTAGTAATAGTATAGTGTAGTCTGTTGATAGTATACGATATACCAATATACATATATATATATATATATATATATATATATATATATATATATATATATATATATTATAATGATGGATAAATGGATGATAATAACCCCTGGGAAGGGTGATCGCTACCAAGCTATTTCTAATTTGTCTTGTGTTGTTTATTGTAAACATAATTGTAAGCTATTATTGGAAAAAAAATAGTCCCGCTGGGTTTCTTGCTGGTTCTTCCCAGGACAGAGGTTTTTTTTTTGCGAACCAGTGGTAAATGAAAAAAGTGACTTTCAATAAGTATTGTTATAATCTACATTGAATAAAAAAGTTACTGTTTCTGTTACAATACATTGTGATTTCATACTAGGTTAACAATGCGGGATGAATATGCTATTTGGTTATACAATAACGACTTTTATCAGAGACAAAATCTTGTTAAAACAGACATGTAAGGATTAGCTAAGTAATTGTGTCTACATATATATAACACAAACAGATGTTCATTCAAAGAACTGAAGTGGATTATGTCTTATCAATCATAATGCGATTATACTATTTCGTGAAACAGTTTGGAATTTGTAGTTTCAGAATCATATGTTAAGAAATACTTTTGTGATCCTGTACATTTTTCCTACAACGTCTAAAAAACATTCCTACATCGGGATAGGGGTTATTTCTATTCTTCAGCTTTTCAATTACACTGTTAGCTATTTTGAGAATAGTCAAACGCATTTCTCGAAAAATAAACTCATGGTGGGCATGCATGCATGTCGACGCTCGCACTGCTCAAGCTGCTCCTCATCTTCAGTATAAGATGTCCACTATCATACAGTTGCTAGAGCTTCGTTTATTAATAAACAGTCAGCGCAAGGCCACGCGTATCTGCGCAATCTGAGAAAATAGAAAGAAGGAAAGAAAACCTTATTTGATATCTCACAAAAGTTCATAACTTATTAAAAAAAATTGTGTGCTTGTCATGCAGTGGCGGTGTAAGAGTCCACTATCCATCCGTATCATCCCGGGCGTGCCGTCACAAGCGACAGAGACAAACATTAACAGGAGATGGAACGCAGCATCTTCGTGATGGCTACTCAATAATAAGCGGTTCTATCCCACCGCACTGCTTCTCTATTTACACTTGCAGCTCATGTCCTTCGTAGCTGATGTCTTCTAAATTTTAAATGTGTTACGTGTCGAACACGTGAAATGTTAATGTATTTTCTACGTCTCAGTTACCGTTACAACCTGTCAAAAGTCTACTGCAGAACATAGACCTCCCCATTGGTTGTGTGATTAGGCGGATACTTGCCATAGTTGCCACGCTCGGCGTTGGCGGGCGGGTTGGCTACGGCAGTTTATTAGGAACACGCTGCTGCTCCTTCCCTGGTTTGTTTCCTTCGGTCTGCTTCCTTCTCTGAGACGATATGTGGCAGTGAATATTGTCGCACCGCATACGTATCGTATGCAAATTTTTATGTTAGTATTTTTTATATGAGATTAATGAGAATGAGAGTGAAAACCAAGCACACAGTTCACCTGATGGTGAGTGGCTGCTGCGGCCCATGGACATCTACATCTATCCACGATTAAGAATCAAAATGCAGATGTATTGGCATTGTCACCCCTGAGGATTAAGATGGAATGCCTCGTTACCAGTAAAAATGGTCTCCGGTTTTCTACACTCACCATACGAATCACAGCAGCATTTTACTATTCGTCGCTGGTATTCTGTGAGGGCGTAGTTCTTCCCCGGTCGAGACGACTCATTTGCGCTACAAGCATAATATATCTGCAGCGTGGCTCTACCACCTTAAATTTGACGAGTTTTAAAAGGTTTGTCCTGTGTTGTCCATATCGGTGATCGGTATCGGTTTGAGCGTTATCTCGGCGTCGGCACGCGGTTGATTGTCGCGTATTATTCGCTACAGCCACTATCGCCGATATAGTTGATTCAACGCAACCGAATGTTGGCGGCAAATTCCTTAACACGGAGTTTCTTTTGCGTAAAAAGTGAGAAGCGTGACACTAGGGAATAGGATTGCTTTTATTTATTAAGCTGTCCCCACTCTATGTATATCAAGTGCTTCGTGCAGTATGAAGAAAGAAAGAGAGAAATATTGTATTTAACACAACACAACAATACAAGTCTAGGAAAGCATCCACGAATTTTTCTGACACCAAGGCAAAGGCGGCGCCACTTACAAATTAGGTGAAATATTTGACAGATTTCATGGCGGGGAAGATTAATTTGTTCGGAAAATGTAAGTTTTTATTCTGAAATATAAGTTATATTTGCGTTATTTATTTATTTATCACCAACAAGACACACTAACAGAAACATAATATTTTTACAGGAAACTATAAAAACTAAGTGTTGACTTAATTACAGGTGTTACACACATTTCATAAAGGATAGACACTAGTATACAAATGTAAATTAAATTGAATACGAATTTAATATTATATAATAATTTAAATCATGCATAATTTTATACTGTTATATCATGAGAATCGGCACAATAATCATAATTTAGCTTCATATTACTAGTAAGAAAAGATACTTTATTACAGTGAAATACAATTGATTGAGGAATATAAATGTAATAAATCACGCTTAAATTTCGAAAGATTATCTGCAAATACGGCAATATAAATTTTTCTATCTTCATGTTTATTATCAGTAGTCGTTATGACACGAATACAATTAATATGTGATAATTTATATAGATACTATAGCATTATAACTCAACATCAATCTATCAATTGGAGAATAGCGTTCTTGAAGTGAACGTGTGCTTTTTGCTTCGAATTGTATAAAAGACGATGGTCTTTAATGGGACACGAATATTCAATTGACCTAGTAAATGAAAACTATCAATTCACCAACTTATACAAGAAAGTAAGGTCAATTAACTGTCTTCGATAATAAGTGATTTAGCTTATCTTCGTAACTCCTAAAGACTTTAACAAGGTTATGATCGTAAGATAAAGGCAAAATAAACCTCTTTTGTATCCTTTCGATTTTATGTGTTGTCTCTGGGTTTTTCTACAGATCGTGAAGTGTGTTTATTATATTATATCCTAAAGTTTTCCCGTTATTTTGGCAATCTTAAAAATCCTAGAGACAACTTGTTTCTATTCACCCCGCGATTCCATTTCACGGTAAGTCAAAGGAAAGTTTATCACGAGGATTGTTATATTTGCGAATTTTTATCCTATATTTATATTCAGACACAGAGTAAACCATACTTAGTATTGTGGCGACATGCACATTTCTATTTTTATTTATGTATTGAACGTCGCACACGCCGACGCGATGTTTTAAAAGGTTTGTAAAAGGAATTAAATTTCTTTTAAAGTTTACTTTTAAAGTTTGATCAACGGCGGGAGTTAAGTAGATGTCAGGAAACATTTCGTTACCGCGTTTTAAAAACCTAGTAACGACATCTAGCGGAATCAATTTAAACTATGTATACGTTAGTTAATAAGAACTCTCAAAAAATATTTTTCTTATAATTTTGCAGAACTTTTCTTATTATAATACTGATTCATTCATAACCACATATAAGAACTGTATTCATTTCCATTCAATAAATATTACTAAGGCTTATTGGCCTAAGAACTGTTTCTACCACAGTTAAGTAATAGTTAAGGGTGAAAGCGTGACAGGTGGTGATAGTATTTCTGATCCATACTTATAATCACGCCTGTAACCCTTGCGGGGTAGGCAGAGCATCAACGGATTACTTAATATCGTCTGCGAGGTTATCGCCTATTCTGTGAATTACAATGCACCAAAACGTTTGAAGAAAATCAGCTGGTGAATTTTATGTTTATTATCGCTCTCTTCCCGGTCCTGCGTGGAAAAATACAGATCCATACATTTTTTATCTTAATTTTGGTAAAAAGACATAATAATCCAGATATTCTGACCTTCTGTGTTCGTCCATCGTACCGTCGTCCGTCTTGTAAAATCACGGTGACGCCACCTAGCTGAATTTAATTTTGCAACATATTCGATTTTCCCAAGGGAATGATATGTTTTTCCGCTGAAAAAAGTAGCCTATGTCACTCTACAGCCACCGAACTATCCCTATACAAAAAATCACGCCATGCCGACGCTCTGTTGCGACGTGAAAGAAGGACGAACAAACAAACAAACACACTTTCGCATTTATAATATTAGTATGGATATATATATATATATATATATATATATATATATAAATCTATTGGTGTCCGTTAGTCCCCCTAAAACTCATCGTTTCGACCGATTTTGATGAAATTTGGAGTCGTAGGTGGCGTTCTTCTTGAGATCTAAACGTTGCCCGTCTATTTTCGAGATGTTTTTGCTGTTAGTCTATGCGACTCTTACAGCTTCATTTGACTAATTAAAAAAAGGGAAAGACAATGAACGTGAGGATGATGATGATAATGGTTTATGGTTTAGTGTTGTTACTAATCATCATATCGCCTTTTTTGGCGTCATTGAGCTATCTAACCGCTGTCCGAGAGGGGGTTTCAGACCCCGCTATTGACTGCTCAGCTCGTGTCGGTCGATGGAAAAACTACCGGTGCGAAGCCGGGCGGATCGCTCGTTTTGTAATATAAATAACAAATAAAACCATGATTTTCAAAGTATAAATTACATTTTATTTATGTTCTATTGAAATTCGTCTGAGGTGGAAAATAAATAAACTGTATCTGTAGATGTTGCGAACAAGAAAAGTTACAAAGTTCAATTTTTCAACAAAGAGATAAAATTATTTATGAAAATCTTTCAAATAATTTTTAAATTTAATAGTATTCGTTTTGTTTAAGTTTCCTAACTTTTTGAGTTTAATGTAAATTTGGTTTATTTCGCAAAATAATTGCTCAAGTTACTAGCCAGTAAATTATTACAATTAACAAGTAAAAAAGTAATTCCTCCTTAATAACTTAAAAATGACTTCCCAAGTAATACGACACAGAATACACGATAGTACTTCACGGTTAAATAAAAATAATATTTCACAAGTACACGTCACCAAGATTATACATAAATATATTCATCTTTCCCATAAATCTTTCTAAAGGTTTAGCTAAAAGCCGTTTGCAATATTTATGACGTGATCATCTTAGTTAGAACCCTTATATACGTTGTATTTGTTTAGTAACTTAGTCCTTTTAGGTGTCTCTTGGAAGAATGAATATTCACTCGAGCAATCGAAAACCGTTGATAATGTCTTATTTTAAGCAAGAAACCCCGTTCGCCAAGACTGGGCTTGCAAAAGGTTAAGAATATTAAATCGTCCCTATTCCACTTGTATCAGGCGTACATCAATCAATTTCGTACTAATGAATCCCTCCCCGCTTGGGAAAGGCTCACAATATTTTTATAAAAAGTACCCGATACAAGGACATCGCTCTCGCACATTTTATGCCGGCTGTACACGCTCGTCGAGACACCACGAGACATGCCTAGAGGTGAGCATTATTTAACATAATCGGTTTCAGAAACTGCTTACCAGCTTGATAATCGTATACCCAGTTTCGTGGACAAAATGTAATGATTATTTTACGTACGCAGTTGACACACACCACGACCGGCGCTCGCGTAAGCGTTTCGTTTTGAACAGATTATTATTAAGATGAATATAGGTAGGTACGTAACACGATATACGACTCGCACAACGAGAGCAAAAAGAGTCCCTTCGGGATAGTTAATGGCTTACACGCAAGATGTGGATCATAAAAATTATGTGATGTGATGGACAATAATACTTAGGCACTTACATATTTTGTTACCATAAAATTGTACAAAAGTACTAATATTAACGATGTCACGCGCATATTATAATTATAACACCTATAAAATGTTATATATTCGTAATCATAATCATAACATAACACAGTTAAACTAATGTTGTAATACCTATAACCTGTTAATATTTTTGTAATCATAACCTAACACAAACACAGAACTAACCTACGCTATACTGTATCGTATACAGATGTATGTAGCGTTGCCAGGCGTCCGGATAAAGGCGGACACAGTCAGGCTTTTTGTTTGCGTGTCCGGCCAAATTAGACGGTGTCCAGGCCTGTCCGGCATTTGTCAGGCTTTTTTATATTTGACCATTTTTTACATTTTTCATGTACTTAAATACATACTACCTATTGCAATTATTGAAACTAATATTGTAATGAATATTGAATGATTAATAATAAAGAACACTGATTCTTTTAATTTAAGATTTTGTAGTAAATGATATAAGGTTAGCATTGTTTTACTTTAAAAAATATATTATCGTGTTATACTAAGACTGAATAATTAAGGGTGTCCGGCCTTTTTACCAAAATGTTTGGCAAAGCTGGATGGTCTGTTCGGCTTCTCGGTTTAAAGACCTGGCAACCCTAGATGTATGTAGCTCATGGCGGCTGAACACGCTCATCTCGTCACCTCGTGTGCCTCTCGTCACGTAAAGGCTCGACGGAGAACACACCATGTACACACTCATTGTATCATTTGAAGTTTGAACTCCATATGCCCGCTTGCTGCGTTTTGCCTTTGAACTATTATATTTTTTACACATTTACTAAAAATAAAATTAATAACCCATTGCTAAGAAGGAGATGGTGGATAGTTTCTATTAATTTACCGTAATAGTACCATGTACGGTGAATAGAATAGTGTATAGCTTGCGGCTTGCGCCACGAAAGATGAACAGTGCGGTGCGGTATGACATACGGGGAAGCGAAACCATAGCAACGGGCGACGCGCTAGCTCCAAGTAGTGTCTCCCTTCGTCCAGTCACCCGCGCACATACTTGTGTCGTCTTGCGTACTATCGATATCGAAAGTGTTAGCGACTACCTGTTATACAATATTTAAAATATATATATATATATATATATATATATATATATATATATATATATATATATATATATATATATATATATATATATATATATATATATAAAGTAAATAATTATTCAATAAACCTGGCACTTAAGACTTAAATATTGATATCGGTATTAAGAGTATGAAATATTTTATGAGATTTGTAAAACTTAGCAGGATCTATTGAAAGATGACTGTAATTATGTAAAGAAAAAGAGAGGTTCAACTAGTCCCGGAAAAAACACATGTTTCTTCATAAATTTAAGTACATATATATTTTAAATGAAATTAAAAAAATCAATAATATCATTAAACACTGTATTTAATAAACTTTCTTACAGTGTATTACACTTCTTTATACATTATCATCAAAAAAAAGTTATTAACAATAAAATCACGTATGTCGTCTTGAGACAAAACATAAATTACAAATACAAAATATTTTACCTCTTTAACTAAGTGTACACAAAATACAGAATATTCTTTAGCAGCAATTAAAACCTAACGATTATATATAAGTACGTTTTCGTAGAGATTTTGATGTGTAGTTATAATGTCGACCTTTGACTTTTTACATATTAAAATGTCATAATACAGTTTGCATTTTTCTGCTTGATTATACATGTTATACACGTTAAATAATATCATCATTCGCTCTCGGTTTTCATCGCGATACCTACGAGACCCTTTGACTCGAGCGCAAAAAACCGACACGCTTCCGAGAGCGCACGAGGGACACGAGACGCGACGCGACGCGACGAGAGCACCCTGTACACACTCGTACTCGCCCTGTCTAGACATGGGTCGTAACGTCTTGGACGTAATCGGTTGTACGTAGTTTCGTGGATATGAGTAACTAGTTTCAAAACTGCTTATTTTTGTAATTAGATACATATGTATACAGTATAGCGTAGGTTAGTTTTGCGTTTGTGTTATGTTATAATTACGAAAATATTAACATATTATAGGTAGGTATTATAATATTAGTTTAAGTGTGTTATGTTATGATTACGAATACGTAACAGGTTATAGGTATTATAACATGTGCGCGACATTGTCAATATTAGTACCTTTGTACAATTTTATACAGTCACAAAATATGTAAGTATTTAAGTATTATTGTCCATCACATCACATAATTATTTTGATCCACATAATACACAAAAATTAACTTAATACAAAAAATATTTATTATTTATTTACACCAATTATATGTCTGTTTATGTACACTAAATATTTATATACACTTTAAATGTTTATTCACAAAGAAAACTATACATGTTATAATATTTATAAAGGAAAACGCGAAGTTTTTAAGAACAATGTTAAATAACGCTCGCCTCTAGGCCTGTCTCGTGGTGTCTCGACGAGCGTGTACAGCCGGCATTAAAAGAGACCAACGGCTTGTGCGGTGAGCGCCAACCAAACAACGCGCTCCCCTCGTCCTCTTACGCCATTACATACAATAAACAATAGTATCACATACGAGTACACGGACATTATGATATAGAAAACTATTATTCGGTACTCAAACAACACACATCTTAGAGGGCCTTAAATTGACTTAAGCCGTGTCATATAATAACCCACACAAGCACTTTTTTGCCAAAGAGTGGTTGAAGTTTCCAAGCTGCCATCAGAAGTGTTATCAGCACAAACCATAAACCAATTTAAGAAACAACTAAAATAGAACAATTACGTATTTGAAACCGGGATGCAGGCTTATATCAGTCGTTTCAACTGCTGGCCTGCTGAAATTCTTTTCTCCTGTATTCTGGAGGCAGTTTACAAACATAAATAAATACTTGATCCGTGGGGATATGTATCTGCGGCCCTCAGCGCTCATTGCTAAGCCACTGCGTCACGGAGCTGTCTAACATGTATAATAATGATATTGTTTACAGGCCCATTTACAGAAGTAATACGGACGTGGAAGCGTGCTTGCAGCGCATGGCTGTCGACGACGCGATGAGGCAGTCGGAAGAGTCGAGCTCGCAGCCTCCGCGAGGTACTTTGTCACGTATTTATTTATTAATTTACTAGGTTTTTGCCCCGCGGTTTTACCCGCGTCCAAGTTGCTTGTATCATATACTATTTAAAAAAAATTAAATATGATCTATGTTTGCTAGATGATGTTGTGCTTCGGTGGTTTGGTCATATAGAAAAAATGAACGAGGAAATAGTGACAAAGCAAATTTATGTTGCAGAAGTGAACGGAAAAGTCATGAACGCCTTAGACCTAGACGCAAGTTTATCGATCAAATTTCTGATGTATTGAAAACGGGCGAGATTAAGTTTATGTTTAAGGGTGTAACATATGAACGTAGTAGAAGCCTGTGGCACTGATACTTTACAAAAAATAAATACAATTTTTTTTTGAATTAATTACCCATAATTATCCACAAAAAATGTTTAAAGTTGCTCTTTCTCTCTTCACTAAAAGACAACAGGAAAAGACAAGTACGGAGATAATTAAGGGTCTACTCACACGAACCACAACACGTGGGCGGACGCATTTTGTATTGGAAATAAATAATACAATTTACACGTACCACATTTTGCCGTCATTATCGACTGCGTGAGTGATACCGACCACAACGCAACCACGACGCAACTACTACGGAACCACACGGAACCAACCGTCGGCCACATCGCAAACACAACATTGCGTCGACGCCACGACTAGGGTTGCAACGCAAACATAACGCAACTGCAAAAAGCTGCACATTTTTTCGCAGCGATGTGGTGTGGTTGTGGTACGTGTGGGCCGACCCTAATACTTTAAGTACGCCATAAACAACAATTATACGTAAGCTCCATAATGTACTGCTTTTACGTGTGAACTTAACTTTTTTATTATACTAGTGACTGATTTAATACGGATTTTATAAATCAATTGTCACGAGTGCGTTATTATAAAGATTAGGGTCAATGCTGCCTCTCGATAAGGCTACGTTTATGTATATACAGTCAAACCTGGGTAAGTGAGAACTGGATAAGTGAAAAAACTCTATAAGTGAGAGTAATAGCCAGGACCCATCGTTTTAAGCTCCCACAACCTCTACTGGCGGGAAACAGAAACCTCTGTAAGAGAGAGTCGTTTTTCCCTCATGGACCTCCGTAAGTGAGACTGCTACTTATCTATACCTCTATAAGCGACAGTCGAGCTTTATTTATTTATATTATTTAGGAGGTTTTACACTAAAAATACATACATACGTAAAAGACACACATACAGTAACAAATGAAATTTTATGACTCATTCTTAACTTTCGTGAACCATCCTACCATTGTTTTTGTATTATTTTCTCGTCAACCTATTCTATTTTGTGGAACTTGTGGCGGCGCTGTCGTCGCGCCACAAGCGAAATACACCGAAGCCTAAATCACGCTATCAAAATTCCGAATCATAAACAGCATATATAGTACATCTCCGAACTATCACACGGAGTGTTTGCCGCTCCCCGGGCAGAACACCTTGCCCGGCGGGAGATCTCCCCTTTTCCTTCCACGGCCACAGAGGTGACCGCCCGGCGTAATCTGAACACGCAACCAACAACCTTCGGAAACTTCAAGCTTTCATCATCGTCATAAATACCCCACCCATTCGCTCCCGAGCGTATATCGTCTGCATTCTTCATATCCTGCAAGCCATGTAGCTTCACAAGGTTCATCGCAGCACTGGAATAATAATGCTTCCTGTTCCTTCAAGCTACTCTCTGCGCCATACGGTGTTCGGCACGGCTCTAAGCCTTACTGCTCGCCTCTGCTTCACGGCACTCTCGCAGATTACTTGCCTTCTTCTCGACTCACCGCAGATTACAAGGCAATCTCCTGGCAGTGCACATTCGTCGACAACTCGACTGCACTATCGACCTCCGGCCTGAGCATGGGGGGTGATGTGGCGGCGCTGTCGTCGCGCCACAAGCGAAATACACCGAAGCCTAAATCACGCTATCAAAATTCCGAATCATAAACAGCATATATAGAACATCTCCGAACTATCACACGGAGTGTTGGCCGCTCCCCGGGCAGAACACCTTGCCCGGCGGGAGATCTCTCCTTTTCCTTCCACGGCCACAGTGGTGACCACCCGACGTGATCTGAACATGCAACCAACAACCTTCGAAAACTTCAAGCTTTCATCATCGTCATAAATACCCCACCCATTCGCTCCCGAGCGTATATCGTCTGCAGTCTTCATATCTTGCAAGCCATCTAGCTTCACAAGGTTCATCGCAGCACTGGAATAATAATGCTTCCTGTTCCTTCAAGCTACTCTCTGCGCCATACGGTGTTCGGCACGGCTCTAAGCCTTACTGCTCGCCTCTGCTTCACGGCACTCTCGCAGATTACTTGCCTTCTTCTCGACTCACCGCAGATTACAAGGCAATCTCCTGGCAGTGCACATTCGTCGACAACTCGACTGCACTATCGACCTCCGGCCTGAGCAGGGGGTGATGTGGCGGCGCTGTCGTCGCGCCACAAGCGAAATACACCGAAGCCTAAATCACGCTATCAAAATTCCGAATCATAAACAGCATATATAGAACATCTCCGAACTATCACACGGAGTGTTGGCCGCTCCCCGGGCAGAACACCTTGCCCGGCGGGAGATCTCCCCTTTTCCTTCCACGGCCACAAACTAAATAACGTTATTTTATCGCATTCTTTTCGAATGGACACGTGTGCCTGTGTACCGTCCTGTTTGTCGGACTTACTCAGTTTATAGTTAATCAATTGCGAAGGAAAGTTCTGTTCAGCATCATGTCAAAACGGAAAATTAAAGTTCTGTCATTAAGTGATAAACTTAAAATAGTGAACGCGATTGAATCCGGAAAATCGCGAAATGAAATTCCGAGGGAGTTTAATTTACCAGAATCCACCTATTATAAAATAGAAAAGTGCCTTTTGGAATGGATAAAACAAACTCTCGATAAGAACATTCCCATAGATGGACCTTTGTTGAAAGAAATATCAAAAGACTTTGCTACAAAACTGGGAATCCGGAACTTTTCTGCTAGCAACGGCTGGTTAAAGGGTTTTAAAAGGCATCATGATACAGCTTAACCTCTATAAGAGAGAAACGCTACCCAAGTACCTGCATTAGCGGGAAACTCGGGTTAGCGAGAAACCTCTACAAGCTAGAATGAGATTGTGCTCCCTTGAACTCTCGTTTATCCAGGTTTGACTGTAGTTATAATATACTAAATAATTTATTACTTTCCAGCCTTCCGCTAACTAATTACAATGATGTGTCTTACCTGGATTGGAGAGCACCTCCCGCCCTCCCTCAATTGCATGCACTAACTCCGTCACCACTAGTCCCAGCACCACTACTCCCAACACCACTACTCCCGGCACCACTACTCCCGGCACCACTACTTCCAACACCACTATTCCAGGTAAGACACACCATCGACGACAATACGACACGTGTTTCGCCTCTACACGAGGCGTCTTCAGGTAATGTAGACTCTACGACTCACCGCTAAGTGAGCGGCGAGTTTTTTTTTTTTTGCGCCCGAAGCAATTAAAGGGCTACCCTATACGTAGGGAGGCGGAAAATGCATTACGCATACCACGATAGCCGGTCTATCGTGGTTATGAGGGGCTCACTGTCCTACCGGGGACCCTAAGTGATACCCTCTAAAAACCGCCTTTGGGGACAGGCAACCGGCTGATTAAGCTCTATTGTGCCTTATCATGAGCGACCCTCTTTTGGGAAAAGAGGGCGCAGGCGGCTAAGTGCCGCTGAGGGAGTGCCTACGAAGGCAAATTAATGTTAGATATTACAATAATTTTATTTAATTAGAGTTGGCCTGAGCCGCCAGGAGACAGTTCAGGTCGTTTGAAAGTTTATTAGGCGGGTCCGAGAGAGAGTTTCTCGGCCTGCGGACACGATAGCGAGAGGGGGGGTGGGGCTGCATAAGAAGCTGCCTCACGAATTAAATGGTTTGGGTGCGACTCTGAGGCTTTGAAGAAGTTCTCAGAGAGTTTTTAAAAAAATTGTTGAATTGTTGGGAGCTCTAAGTCCCGATGAAGGTCGGCATTACGGACGTACCACGGTGCGTTCGCAGCTCGACGACAGAAGAGGTTCTGAACTATTTGGAGTTCGTTTAAAAAGTTAGGGTTTGCGTGGGCAAAGACGGGGCCCGCGTAGGACATGACTGGTCGTATACAGACCTTGTAAAGGGTACGCTTGTTTCGAAGGGACATTTTACTGTGTCGGCCCAACATACTGTTGAGCCTACTCAGATAAAACCGTGCGTGACGGGTTACTCTTTTGACGTGGGGCTTGAAAGTGAGCCCTGTGTCTAGAGTGACACCTAAATATTTGGCGGACGTATGCCAGGGGACAGGGGTCCCTAGCATACGTATTGGTGGAGTGTTTTTGAGACGGCGTCGTTTATAATCGAAGTGAACGGCGGAGCTCTTCTCCGGGTTCACATCGATGCGCCATTTTTTGAACCAAGCACCTAGGTCATCAACTGACTTTTGGATCTTGTTCCGTATGAAGGGTAGTGAGACACCTTTGCAGTAGATGGCAGTGTCGTCTGCGAAGAGGGAGAGTTGAACACCTTTCGACGGGATGGGAATGTCGTTGGTGAACAGGATGTACAGCAGAGGAGCAAGTACTGAGCCCTGAGGGACACCAGCCTTGATAGTTCGCTGTGAAGAAAGCGTGCCTTCGTGTCTAAAACGAAAGGTACGATGTTTTAAATAGGAGGCCACGAGACGAACTAGACGATCGGGGAGACCTATTTTATAGAGCTTGTAGATGAGGCCTGTGTGCCAGACTCTATCGAAAGCTTTGGCTATATCGAAAAAGACCGCGATGGTCTTATGACGACGAGGATAGAAACCGCTGAGGATATATTCCACAATGCGGTGAACTTGTTGGGGACATGAGTGTTTGGCTCGGAAACCGAATTGATGGGGAATGATAAGAGGGTCGCCGTCTGTGGGAAACAGATAGCGCCTCATACGCGTTTGGATGACTCTTTCGAAGAGCTTGCCCATTGCCTTGAGGAGGCTAATGGGGCGATGGCTGAAGGGGGAGGTTGAGAGGCTTGCCTGGCTTGGGAATTCCAATCACAGTAGCCTCTTTCCACGTAGTGGGGAAATAACTGAGGTTGAAGCAGGCGTTGAAGATAATAGATAAAAAGGTTAACACCTGCTCAGGAAAGTGTTTTAGGGCTTGGTTGGAGATGCCATCCGCGCCCGGACCCTTTTTGGGCTTAAGTCCTTTGATGAGGGATGAAATCTCCTCATCATTGGACACAGAGATAGGTTCGGAGGCCGTAGGGGGTGAGTTCCGACGGCGGACCTCATCCTCCACTGCCTGGACGTGAGAAGGGTCGACGGGTTGAGAACTAGGAGAGCATTGAGCGGCAATGCTATCTGCAAAGCACTCAGCCTTTTCCTCGTCCTCGAAGGCAACCGTGCCGTCGGGACGGGAGAGAGAGACACTTCCCGTGTGGGTGATAGCGTCTATGCGGAGGGCTCTGGCCATCTGATAGTACGCTGTGTGAGAAGGAGAGATATTCTCCATGAGCTTACTCTTTTCGAGGTCTCGAAATTCAGAGAGGCGGAAGCGGAGTTCTCGTTGAAGACGATTGGCCGCGCGCCTATATTCGGGGGTGGGATATTTTGCTGCTCTCCAGAAAGCAGCTTTTTTGGCTTTTAGTAGGTTGCTAATATGTAGGGGAAGCCCACTATTCTTAGCAACCGGGACGACCCTTTCGTTCTCCTTAAGGGAGGATTTAATAAGGGTGGAGAGGCGAGCGGCGAGCCGAAACAGCTGCTTTTTATACACGCCGACACAACCACTCCCCACCAAAGTAACGAGTGACCGCCCCGCGCGATAACAAACTTGCGACTAATTGTTATGATTAATATTTTTTAAATATTATTATTATTATTGTTTTTTATATTGATATTATTATAGTTAATATTATTAATTTTAAAATTATTATTAAAGATTGGCCTTAAAGATGTTTAACAAAGGTGAATTAGAAACATTTGTTTGTTCATTCAGCAGTGCATAATTACCATTATTACTTTTTAAAATCTCCAACTGCTCCAGCACACACAGTCGCAGCCCCTTACTAAGTATGTAAGACTTCAAAGGAATGGTCGCTGGCTAGGTTGTGTCCAGTGTCCAAGAGATGTTTAGCAAAATGGGATTTATCAGGATTGCAATTTCTGTACGCGGACAAATGCTCTTTATAGTGCGTCCTGAAATTGTTGTGTCGGCGTGTATAAAAAGCAGCTGTTTCGGCTCGCCGCTCACTTAGCGGTCAGTCGCCGTAGAATCTACATTACCTGAGGATGCCTCGTGTAGAGGCGAAACACGTGTCGTATTGTCGTCGATGGTGTGTCTTACCTGGAATAGTGGTGTTGGAAGTAGTGGTGCCGGGAGTAGTGGTGCTGGGAGTAGTGGTGTTGGGAGTAGTGGTGCTGGGACTAGTGGTGACGGAGTTATTGCATGCAATTGAGGGAGGGCGGGAGGTGTTCTTCAATCCAGGTAAGACACATCATTGTAATTAGTTAGCGGAAGGTTGCAAAGTAATAAATTATTTATTATAATGGATTTCCGCAAAGTAACGCCTGATTCTGTCAATTATTTTATAATATACTACCGACTACGGACTAAAAATTACAAAATACTTTTTTAATTTCTTACATTGTCATCCGTTTTGAACTATGTTCAAAATTTTAAGTCCCTAGCTCATAGTGAAGTTAGCTAAAAATCATTTAATAAATTCGACATGAATAGACATAATACACGAAAGCGAGTTAATAAAAATATATTAGGGATCTTCAAAAATCGAGCTTTTGTTGCGTGTTGCAGTTGTTAATGGGTGGCGGTCGACATCATCAGGTAAGCCGTATGCTCGTTTGCCCACTGTTCTATAAAAAAGTGATAATAATTATATAAATATAACAGAAATTCTAACGCCTGTCATTTAGAGGGGTAGACGGAGACTACGGAATTCCATATGACACGATCTTGACACACCTCTCTCACTTCGTTCACATCCATATGTCTATGCATTCAGCTACTAATTTTTAAACTAAGTATTAGTTACAGCCTAGTTTAAACAAAGTGAAATGTGCCATGTTTAGTTCCAGAACGTTTGAAGAAGCGCGCAAGTCTGAAACTGCTGCGAGCGCAGGAGAGAGACTGGAAGCAAGAGCAGAGACAGCGCGAGAGCAAGGCCGACTCCTTGCCTTCGCCCAGTCCTGCCGTGCCCACGTTGGTGAGTCACAATCTTTCAGGAGATTTCTTACATAATTTTACCTGTAGGTCAAATCACTGCTATGTAAGAATATCATCTACCCCATATCATCCCGCGCGTGTCGTGACAGGCGACAGGGGGAAACAAATCTAGAAATAGAAATAGAAATAGAAACTTTTTTATTCAATGTAGATTATAAAAATACTTATTGAAAGTCACTTTTTTAATTTACCACTGGTTCGCAAAAAAAACCTCTGTCCTGGGAAGAACCAGCAAGAAACCCAGCGGGATTTTTTTTTTTTAATAATAGCTTACAATCATGTTTACAATCAACAACACAAGACAAATTAGAAATAGCTTGGTAGCAATAACCCTTTTTTATACAAACTTAGTTTAATAACATTTTTGAACTTTGTGTATGACAAATTTTGTATATTTTCTGGGATTTTGTTGCAAAAGCGCATACATCGCCCCAAGAATGAATTACTGACTCGGTGGAGTCGAGTAACTGGTACTACTAGCTTGTGTCTGTTCCTAGTATTTACAGAATGAATATCACTTATTTTCGCAAAACTATTTTTTTCTACTTTTTTTCTAGAGACAGGCAGCAGCGTCACAACTATAAATAAAAAACTGCGATTGCCAAACCGCTTGCGAAGCGTGGCAACTATCTTGAATATCCCCCATAGGAGGCAATCTATGCGGGAGGCCTATGTTCAGCAGGGGACTCTAATAGGCTGTATCGGTAAAGGTTTCATAATTGTGAAACTCAACTTTTATCACCTAAGGTGTCGAAGATCTCTATTATAGATCCTAATTTTGAGGGTTTACGTCGCTCTGAGATGTACGGCATGGAAGCTATTTTAATGAAACGTCAGCTCAGGTGGAGCGAGCATGTGTTCGCATGGATGACCGACGTTAACCTGAAGCTGTTTTGTAGTCAGAGATGGCGGAATGTCTTATCGTGTATTTTATAGCGTTTAATTTTTACTTATTTTTAATACACGACGTTTCGGATGCTTTGCAGCACCCGTGGTCACGGGGGGAACACGTCTGGAAATAAAAATAAGTAAATTAAACGTCATAAAATCATGTGTCAATCATCATCAAAAAGTGATATGTAGTGTTCGCGTAAATATTAGAAAGAAATCATTATGAAAGCACGGGTGTTCAGCATTTGCACTGTAAGGGTGTTGTGTGCATAAGGAACCTTAATTGCGCTGTCGACCTTTTGCTGGAAGGAGCTTGCAGCAGTTATCTTGGCATTCCTTTACCATTTTCAAAAGCATGAAATCGTTTGAGGAAAGCCGTCTCAAAACTTTAGACGCTATACGTCCTACGCGTTCACTTAGTACTTAACTGGTTTTTTTTTCTCATGTGCCTCCCATAAGGAATGCCACAAAGCACGGTCCTGAGTAACCTGCATCCATTGACTTCGTTCATGTCTTATCAGGTCGTCACTCCGTCTTCTCACACTTTGTCTTCTGGTACGAGGCTGCCACTCGAGAACCTTTCTTCCCCATCGGTTGTCAATTCTTCGAGCTATATGGCCGGGCTATTGGCATACCAGGGCTCATGATAGGAGAATACCCTTATTTACTACAGTGTCATTAGTTATCTAGATAATACGCTGCATGTTGTTGTACGGACAGGTGGAGTCATGCAGCCGGTTCATGTCGCTGAGTTCACGACTTAAGTGCCGCGGGGAGGATGGTACAGGTGGTGCGGGGGACGACGCGGCGGGCAACGTGGGGGGCGTCGCGGAGGACTGCGCGGGGGGCGCAGGGTGGCGGCGAGGAGGTGGGGCGCCGGCTCCGCCCAGCCGCGTCAGCTTCCACAGCACCTTCAGCATGCTCATCAACATGGGCAGCACGGACAAGGCTTGCCGCCGCACCGTAAGCATATTTTTTTTTTACAAGAACGAAATTAATTAAAAATCAAAAATAGGTTATTTCCTTAAAATTTATTAATATTATGCCGTGGCCAAAATCACCCAGGAAACATGTAAAAATGCTTCCTGAAAATAACCGTTTTCCCCGACTTTGAATATATCCGTGCCTGCTCCGTCGCCCTGTAATCTCCCGCGAGCTCTGTCGCAGTCGCAGTCCATTTCAGGACATCGTCGAGGGCGCATCCGCGTTCGTGTTGGAGGGACATCGTTCAAATACATTTTAGTTTTTGAAGAGTTTATTCTCATTTGTAAATATTTATATGAATAAAATTTGAAAAATGAAAAATGCATTTTTGGACACTAAATTTTACGAAAATCGTTGGAGCCGTTTGCAAGATTCCGATTATATATATACTGTAATTTAGATGTGGAACGACCAACACGCTCTCGTTACTTAGGTTTAGATAGTTTTTAATACCTATGTAATTTTATTGTTGCATATTTTTATTATGTAGGTGACACTGTCTTTTATGTGTTACAATAAAACGCTGTTTTTATAAGTATGTAGTTACCTACAGATTCTTATATTTAGGTAAATATTGTGTTTTCCTAAGTGCTACGTATACTACAATAACATTCTTGGGTTTAAGTTTTCTTTTTATGTTGTAAGACAGTACATCACCTGAAAAAATTATTTAATAAACCAGATGTGGCTGCTGGCCGAATGAGGAATCTGAAAGTCGCCCGGTAAGCGATGAAGAGAGTTCTGCTTAGGGTTTCTCTGCGTGATAGACTTAAAAATTAAGATATATGCAGTAGAATCAGAGTATCCAACATATCCTTACGGATCAGTAAGGTGAAGTGGAAATGGGCCGACCATATAGCTGGAAAAACCAATAACCGATGAGGAAGAACGGTCCTTGAGTGGCACCCTCGTACCAGTAGGCGAAATGTAGGGCGGCCCCCCATTAGATGAAGAGACGACCTGGTATCATACGCAGGAAGTCGATATATGCAGGTGGTTCAGGATCGTGCTTTGTAACATTTCTTGTGGGAGGCCTATGTCCAGCAGTGGCCTTATGAAGGACTGTAATGATGATGATGATGAAGCCAAATGTATCAAACTACTAGTAAATACTAATACTCTATCTTCATTCCTCTTCACGCAAAATAAATCTTACCCTGTGTCCCCGTCTGCGTGTAGATATTATTTTCTTTAACCAACCATGAAAATGTATTACGTGTGATGGGAATATGTATATATAAGAATAAATGTTGTTTCACATGGGACAGATAATATAATATTATTTCTTCCAGTATCGGTTGATAATTTGTAATATTAACGTTTCAAGCGCCATAAAAATCCCATGCAGTCGCATGCGCCCGGCAGATCCCGAGCAGTCGCATGCGGCCGCACCCACTCACAGCACTTAAAACCATTAAAACTTATATTTAGAGACTACTTTTCTATGAAGAAGTTTAGCATTTTAAAAGCTGTACAAAATTTTCTATCATGTGGTCTAAATAAAAGTCAGCTTTTACTTCATTACAAAAAGATTTTACTGTATTTTGATAACTAAAAAAAAAACATACCAAGCGAATGTCGGCAACGTGAAAATCACAATTATTTCAATATATATTTTTCGAAATTATTTACGTAAAAAGATAAATTATATTCATACAAAAGTAAGTAGACCTTCCAGTACTAGTTACTGCCTATTAATGCAAGATCAGCATATACTGGTTATTGGTTAAACATTTGGTCGATAAAAGAAAAGATTGAAAATAGTAACAGTTCCCATGGACCCTCTTTCATTAACAATGCCACGATAATATTATCTATACAGTATTGTAACTCGGCCGTATCTTTGAAATAAATACCTACAGCCGCGCGGTACGTAAACATGTGATAGGGCTGCCTGCCTCCAGCATTTTTACATTTGCCTACTTTGTGTTTTCATTTAGTTTTATGATTGTAGATATACTTTTTTATATAAACAAATATAATAGGTACTTTGTGTATAGAATAGGAAGTGTTCAATAAAAATGCGTGTCGTTTTTTGATTGGTAGATTTAATTAAAAAACCACGTTTATGTTTGAATAACAAATCGGTCTTATGAATTTGCGACCGAAAAATATTTGCGCTTCGGTTGAAACGTACGAAATGCTTTATTATTAAATTTTTAAGTATAAAAAATCCGCACTCTAATGTAAAGCTTAATTAAAAATTGTTTTGGGACATGGAACATGGACAAGGTGGAGAAAAATATCTTTTACTTGATTATAGGAGTATCTATATTTTATAACCAAGTAAAAAAAATTACAATTTATATGTTTGGTTTTAAATAAAGTTCGGATTTATTATTTATTTATTTCTCTTGTATTATTTATTTCCTCCATTTTTTATATATATTCACATATATCACTGCGGCACAGTCACGACTGTCTGCATGCCGAGCGCATGCCGAGATCGAGGCGCGTAGGCATAGCTCTCGCTTCGTCCGTTTGTATGAAGTTGGAATACTGTATAGATAAAATTACCGTGACAATGCCGTCACGTGTCGCATGTTTGTGAATTATAAAAAATAAGAAACAGGAAATGGTAAGTAGGTAAATTATCTAAGTTTCAAAAACGTTCACGTTGTTATAATCTTAATTTTTATAGATGTTACATAATAACCTTCCTCACATATTATCAGCTAATTACTGGTACATTACATACATTGCATAACACTTCTGTGTATACTACTACTAACTAATATCAATGGATTTAATTTATTTTCTCACAGCACTAACCCTACAGTAGGAGCAGCCTTAACAAAGGCGCGTAACGGGCTAAGTGATACAGACCCTCGCACGCGGACGTAAGGTGCATTTTGATGTAGTACGTGCGCCGCATAAAATTTTTTTTTCGACCATTTAGTCGTTGAGCTTATTTCACGAAGGTCGCTTTCGAGGCGTGCAAAGTATTATGAATATTGGCGTCGTTTTAACTACTTAGGTTAAAACTCGCAAGTTTGCTGTCAGTAAGTGGTCTTGTACTAATATTTATTTTGTGGTAAAGAGAAGATTATCGATGGGTTTCTTAAGAAGTTAAAAATATTTTGTGTTTAATTTGATTCAAGACTAAAATAAATGTGAAGTGCCTTTTATCTGCAATGATAATTTCTATCAGAATTAGTATAGGCTTATAAAAGTCATACACACGGTCAATCTTAATTATAATGATCAATAGTACTATAAATGTCTAATAGATTATATCAAGTATTATATCCCAAATATCATCATTAATGTATGACAGGCACACTTAAAAGTTTTATCAGATGACTAATTTTTAGATAACACTTTTAATGACTAACAATAAAATAAAAACTCTACCTCTATGATATCTCTATACTCGTATATATGTGGTGTCTACCACATTGAGGTAGAGTTTTTGCAGAGACGTGAAGCAGCACAGCAGGAAAATAGCTAGGTACAAATTGATAGAATCAATTTAAAAAAATGTTAAAATATATTAGGGCTTTTTGCTAACCGCTAAAGCTAGTAGTTACTTCTATTTAAGGTCATGATATCTATAAAATTGCAAGAAATTTTAAAACATGGACTTTTTGGTTGTTTTACGAATACTATTTCTTAAAGTTTACTTACGTTATTGATGATTCACGTTTCGTAGTCGATAGGTGTGCCATAACAGGTATTATATCCATTGGTAGCGGCCATTCATATTTGAAACAGTTTTCTGCGGCATTAAGCTTACGAATTATTATAAATAAAAAATACTAAACTGAAAATGATGCTGCATTTTCTGTAAAGATACCGGAAAAATGTTTCTCAAGGAGCTATGATCAAAGCAGCAGATAAAAACTGTATACACGTAACTGTTAAAAAAAGATTATCTGTCTACAGTGTCAGATGCGGGAGGTTTCGTTAGAAGGAGAAGAGGTAAATTTTCGTTTTGTTGGCAATCGTACATAAGAGAAACAGCTACAGCCAAACAAGACGAATTGCATTATAATAACTCAGTCCCCTCAACTGGTACGAAATATGAAATAATTTTACGATGTTTCCAAAAATGTGTAGTGAGTTATTAATATCTGACGGTGACTCAGTACAAATGTAAGATCCCATAGTTACACCAATACCAAGATGAGAGGCCCACTGTAGAAAATATAGAATATCGTAATAATTTATTGCGAAACTTTTGTGATAAAATTAAAAATAATATAAGCTCATACAATATACCCAGTACGTTACTTAAAAAAATTAACAAATCTTAAACTAATGAGTTCGCGTCAGTTATTAATAAGGTTACAATATATAACAAAAACAAAAATGAGTGCCAAAAATGTTCAGGAGCTGATTGACGATATACAGCTGACACTTAATCATGCTTTTGGAAACCATGCCAGTTGTAAACAATACTTCTGTGAAAAATAGTGTACGCGAGAGGATCAAGAACAGACAAAATATTTCTTTTCAATTTTTGGCCGATTTGTTATTAGTGCAAATTAAACTAAAAATAATATTTTATATAAAAGTTATATTTACGACTACGTTTCATCAATTCATCATTGATAAAAATGAGAACAGCCATTTTACATTTGTGTTTATAAGAAACAATATCAGTTGAACCTTGCAACTTGTTCATTCTTTTTATTATAAATACCTATAAACATATTTTTTAATAAATCATCCCAATAATATTTCTTACAAATTTTTGTTTTGCCCTATCTGAAACAATCTAAACTCTATAGAAAATGTGGCGTATGAAATGACTGAAAATCACTGGTACATTTTATTTAGGTACAGAAATGTTTTACCTTTTTGTGGCCTCCACACATTGAAGGGTCGATTTCAAACCATCCGTAAAAAGTGGGTTTATGAAATAACTCTTTTAATATTGTTGGAATATAGGTAATTTCTTTATAATGCGATGCTTACATAACATCTTAATATGTTTAACATTCGAGATAATTAGAAAAAAAACTATCTATTTTTTT